CTTTGACAGTGTATCGCTGTGTTTAGGAATAAAACCAACATTTATGCGGAAATCAAGAATACAAAATGTTCGGGAACTGTTAAAATTCTAAAGCTTTAATAAGAGCTGGAAAGCGCTACAGACAAGTTGCCTATACGTACCATAAATCTAATAGCTATTTATTAAACAGTATTTATCGTACTTCGCACTGTGTTATTCCCTTATATAAGTCATCGAAACGTCCAATATACAGGGTGAGTATTTAGAAGAAACAAAATGACAGAATTAGAAAAGAACATTTCAAAAAATATGTGGCTCGCTCCATTTCATAAAATAAACATAGGGGTACAGTACAAGATATAGTTTAGTAACTCTGAAACTTTCACGCAATTTGCATATAGTCCTACGTTGTGTCTCTTTTAATCAAAATGATCACACAATCAGTTGTCCACCACTCATCATTTAGCGTCCTGCGAATTGATGAATACCATTATAAGTACAATGAAACATGGACGTTTCCCACCTTCGTGAGTGAATGAAAAGTTGCAAAGGAAACAGACAAAATTTGCCATTAATATTTCAGGGGGGAAGAGCTGACTTGTTCTTCATAATTAAAACACAAAATTTGACAGCAAAAAGAATATTTCAGTCTTGACTCAATGATTAAAATCTGAAATGTATTTGAATGCCTGTTTGAGATCTGTAATTCTTACTCAGCTCAAAACCTTCTACTGTTATATCATAGACGGCCACAAAAATATGATCTTTCAGTAAAACATGGGTAATTTCTGCTAGCATGGATCAATTTCAGTTATTTTTTTTTTTTTTTTTAGATGAGTGGAAGAACATTCTCTTTTCAGACATTCTTCATTGGTGCATCAAATTAAATCCAAGTTACTTGCTTTTTGACTAGCCCTGTACAGGCCCGGATTAAGTGCTTCGTAGGCCCTAGGTACCAGTGTTCCGAAGAATGGAGAAGGCAGGGGAAAGGCATGGGCGTCGCCAGGATTTTTTTCCGGGGGGGAAAGCATTTTTTCCCCAATATTCCTTAATTTTTTCATTATATTCTCAATTTTATCATTTTTATTTAGCCTGAGCAGGGGAGCATTTTTCCTACCCCCCCCCCCCCATCAAATAAACAGCAATATGGCTTCGCACCTCTTTTTCCTTTCTTTTTCTTTTCCCCCCTTTTTACCGCTTGGGAAGAGGGAATAAGAACAAAGTGGAGAATGTAAACAATAAACACCGCTGCTCAAAACTCCGCGAAGCTAAAATCAGGTTCTGAAACCCATGTCAAAAGATTGTACATTCTGTTATGTCGGCACAGGAAGTCGCTTCATATACGGTGGTTTACAGCTACGGATGTGCCTATAAAAAATATAAAAATAAGAAAAATTCCACAATAGGATTTAAAGACCCCCCCCCCCTCCCCCGCAGTCTGGGATCAGGGAACAGGCCCGAACAAGGTATGCGCAAAGGTACTGAGCATGTACATGCAGTTTTGCGACAATGAAATAAAAACATTATAGCTGGATTAAATTTTTTATTTTATTTTCGGGCAATATTACAAAATTTTCGAACGATTACAGTTCAAGCTCTCAATATAACAAATTAATCATTCTTGCAATTGTCCTCTGATAGAAAAGAAAGAAAATAAAACAAAAAGTTATGTGGCGATGGCCAAGTCTTCAGGAGTCGGACTTATGACCCTAACTCAATGAGCCCCTTACCGACTTCCATATAGAACTCTTCTGGGACTCGGTACCCGGCCCACCACACCTCCTTCCCTGTCCATCCATGTAACTCGAAAGTCAGACACCATAAAGGGAGGAAACGAGGTGGCACCCTAAGCCTTGCTGCCGAGTCAGCAAAAGAACCCCGTACCTATACGCAGATGCCAACCTGGACTTCCCAGACAGTCCCAACTTGTGAGTCAGCTTACCGACCGACCGAGCTAACTGCTGTTGGTAAATGACGACGGGAAATTAATACTCTTAAGTGACAGAACCGCGGGCATCGAAAACCAAAATAATGGCACCAGCGGGTTCGAACCCCTAACCCTGGGTCCGCTGTCAGACAGCTTAACAACAAGGCTGTTTCAGTAGGTGCTTTTCTCTTTGCGTTTAAATCAAAATCATTATTTCGGCAGTGGGAGAGTTACTTTGTGTTTCATAGCTGCACGAAAGATGCATCAGCATTGTGCTATACATATGAGCACTGTTACGTAACTCTTTTATACAATCATTCTCATGTACAGAGCAGTTGACTATTCAGATTCAGTACGAGCAATTAACCGTACCAAGCTCGTCCTTAATCTGTCTCATCAATCATTGTTTCGCGTCGCACGTCTTTCGGCCGGCACTGATGTCGCTATGATTGAGAGAAATTCTAGCAAGTTTCCCCAACCTCATTATATTCATATCAAACTACTGACCCGTTTACAAATATTTACGCGGGAATTTTGTTTATCTGATTCTAATTCAGCTCCCTTAGCTAGCTTGGGAAACTTCATCTTTTCTTGTACTTAGGCTACTTAAGTCTAGGGAATGATGCCATTATAATACAATGTCACATTAACGTCAGCCGGTGGCAGGATTAGAATCGTGACCACGCGAGTGCAATGACGGCCAGTGGCGTATATCTGTGCTGGCGAGTTGGGGGGGGGGGATGGGGGATAACCAAAATCCTAAAATTCGAACGATTCACAATGCAAAGCGCCACTAAGAGTTTGCCATAGAGAGTCAGTTTTTCAAATTACGGTCTACAAAACAAGGCCCATTTGAATGAGTGTCATTAAACAACTTTAGCTAAGTGGTTATAAATTCGGGTATAGCGGTCTGCCGCCTTACTAAAATCACCATATTGATACAAAGTAAAGAAAAAGGCAGATTTTTACTCGAATCATACTCTTACAAAACTACTGACCGGAAAAAACCTAACAATTTAAAATGTCCTGCGCTGCGAATTTGTCGACCACCTCCCACAATGCACTCTAGGAAAAATGAACTCTCCGTGGCAAACTTTTGGTGGCACATGAAACGCCCGTATTGCGGGGAAGGCGGGACGGGTGGGGGGGGGGGGCCTGGACACCACATTATACTGGGACGCTTTGAGTTCGAGTAACACAAGTCCATAAATACTATATAAAAGAAAATTGTACAATTACCCCCCTAACCAAGCTGCCTCTGTCCTGTCCGTATTTTGTCCACATTCGGACGTCACGGTACCAGTATCTTTTTTGGAGTGTCGGAGAGATAGCGGGGAGGGGGGGGGGATTGCATTATTTTTAAAAACAATTTCTATGAACAATCTTTTTGACAGAGCTTAGATCGTTCAGTCGCCAAAGGTTCATGGGTTTGCTTTGTTTCATCTCAAAGCCTTTTCATGCCTTTTCATGACCGTAGACTTGAGTAAAGGCGTATGGCTTCCCGTACACGAAAAAAGACCATGCGAGTGGCAGGCTCGTTGGCTCCGTGCGCCGTCATCAGGGGCGTAATTCCCGGGGCGAGGGTGGGGTGGGGGTATATACCCCCACACTTTGAGTCATCCCCCACTTTGTTGTGATGAAAAAAGGAGGATTTTGAGGTATTTTCCGAACGTCCCAGCAACTAAAATGTATTCAATAGCACTGGAAAGTGTAGAAACAAAGTACAAACGCTTTTAAAATGTAAGCGCGAGTATACATAATTGATAAAAGTGCGTCCCAGTATAATGTGGTGCCAGCCCCCCCCCCCCCTGCCCCGCCTTCATTTGGCTATTTTTAAAAAAAGGAATCAGGTGCGTTCAGGGGAGGATCCAGGAATGTTTGTGAGTGTGTGGGGGGGGGGGTCCAGGCCCGTCAGATGTTTGTATCCGATTGATGCAGACAGGCGGACCGTGTTATTGTTATAATAATTATCAATATATTATGGGTGAAAACCGTGGGAGTCCCCAATCCGCAAGCCAACGTCGGACCCCTTGATTTTTGGTTTGTCCCATGTTTACATATTCATTGCATTTATGTAGATCGCTCAACTGTATCTACTTCTTTTGTTATTTTAATTTGACAAAGCGCCCTCTAGATTTTCATTTTGAATTTTGCGCTTTGAGCGTCATTCAGTTGTTGGATGAAGATGACTGTATACATTTTCGACTCTTCTACAATTTAGAGGGATGACCAATTTATTTTGTTTTCTCCTTTCAAAGTTTACTTGTTTTCTCCTTTCAAAGTTTACTTGTATCCTATTTGACAATATACTTTAAGTTTAGCTACATTTTCCTTCCAGTATTCTATATTTCTGTAGTTTGAAGTTACATTTTCTGGACGATGAAACGCCATGGAGCTATCCTTTTTATAGCTCCATAGTTACGCTGATATGATTTAGAATTGAACAAAGCGTGTAAATAATGACTGGTTACCTGTTTTTTTATTTAATTGTAGTATTTGTGTTTAGATTCAGTACAGTAATTAATTTAATCATTCTATTCTTGGATGAAGATGACTGTACTCACTATGTTCTACTCTTCACCAGTTTAGCCTAAATAAGCTTAAACCTAGAAGCAGTTTCCAAGTAACATTTTTCGTGACCTAAATTACAACACTTATATTAGGATAAGATTACTTATGAAAATGAAGCAATGAACCAAATGCTTTTAAAAAACAGACAACAGAAACCTGACTCAAAATATATACAGCAATGGGGAGGGCAGACATATTTATAGTGTTTATGTTGACATTCCTGATCCTTGGTGTTGCAGTGTTGTGAGATAAAGATTGCAAGCAAACAATTTCTACGCAACTGCTGATTATCGCCACACCGTCTTTTGTATTCCTCAAAAAAAACCTTTGACTTTGGTTTCTTTATCATACGTTTATGGCCATGACCCTCATTTGCAAAAGCATTAGCACTGATTAGAGTCGAAACTCCGTGGTCCGTTATTTTTTAGGGTCTATTTTATTTGCTCATTCTCACCAGGTTGCGAATATAAAGGTAGTCGTACACGGAACCAAAGTCCATTTTTATTGCGCCATCATAAAAACACAACAAATTTTTAGTTTACGAGAAATTTATACACGGATATCAACGAGTTTACTTTGCAAGCGGCCTGTGTCAAACATGAAGTTTGTTCTTCTGTTGACGACTTTGTCACATGTAAGAATTTTGAGATCTTTTTTATTTGTTCATAATGGTTACAAGTGTTATTGAGACTCTAAACCAAAACGACTCGGCCTACTGTTGGCGGACTCTGGTACAATACGCACTGCACCAGAAGAGACTTATTATTGATTGACCTGGCCTATAGGCTATGCGTCAATACTGATCCTTCAACTTAATTAATCTGGAATGTAACGGTCGAAAATTATGGTCGAAGAATTTGAGATTGTAGTGATGGTCGAAGGGGAAGGGCAGGCAGAAATCAATAGGGCTATCGCTCTTATACAGGTCCTTATTTGGCACCATGCTTATGTAAGATATTTCCTTTCAGAAAAGTTTGCAATACCCCCCCCCCCCCCCCTATAGTTGTTTCGTAGGCTAACTTTCTATGATTCAGTTTTGACTTTTTAGTGAACACTGTGAATATTGCGAAGACCATGCATATCACCTATATCACCAAGTTCAAATGCAAAAACTACGGTACCATTGTTTTGTTTTGTATACATTTGTAATTGACTCCGCTCCAATTAGCCTTGTGCTAATGTATACAGGCAAGGCCCACTGACTGTCCATTTGTTTTACGTTGAACTTAAACGGTTATCAATAGTCTGAGAAAGATAACTATAAACAACGGAACTGGTATTACATCAACTATCTTGGTTCCTCTGTTTCCTATCTTACTTCGTAGATCAGAATACAATGGAGGCTCAATAATGACGTGTATATTTTATGACTTCGAATTTTCAGCATATTTGCAAAGCAGTAAACCACTGAGGCCTATGACTGATTTAGCAGTAGATTCTATATAAATGCAAGGATCAAGTACCTTGTAGCAAATTTGTCATGTGGGTTGCAAATTTGTCATGGGGGGGGGGGGGGTATAACAATGAAGATTATACAAAGTTGACCTGGATAGGGTCATTCTATTATCATATAGTTTTTAGTTAAAAGTTATATATCATTATATATAGATCACTAATACTCTTGTTTCGACGACAAAGATGAAACCAATTGCTGCAACAAATCATGTTCTGTGTAGTCTGGTTCCCTGACCCTGACGGAGTAATGTAAAGACTTTAGGGAATTGTAAGGTCAAATAATCAGTCTAGCAGGCTTGTACCCCTTCACAAGTGTGAAATCAATTGCAAAGAAAATGCGGAATAACTAAATATGAAAAGCAGTTAAAAAAAAAAAAAAGAGTTTTCTCCTGGCCGACCAGCATTGGAAAAATACAGTTTTGCTTGAAAATGTCAGCACACCAGGAGCCACCATTTTACAGGATGCTTTAGACTGTCAATCCCTAGCAATTCTGTAAGGTATTTCGTGATCATTTCGTTTTTTGATGTTTGCAAATGTTGCATCTTCCCTTTAATGCAGGATACCCCCCCCCCCCATGCAGTTAATACCCGCCTCTCCCCTTGACCCAAACCTGGATTGCAGTTATTAAAGCATGGCTACTTTTAGCTGCTATCACAATTCGATGTGGTTAACTTGGTTAATTTTTATGGATTTCGGATCGCCGTAATCGGTGGCTCATTAGAAAACTTTACAATAACACCACACTTTTTTAGATATATTTATGTTTGATTGCAAAGATATTAAATATCGTTTGTTTTTTTGTCTTGCACCGACGGATTTTATGAACGCTGTATGCGCAGTGTTGCCCCGAGTGATTGTGAGAAAAATTGTGAAAAGAATCACTCGGGTGGGACTCGAACCCACGACTGCCTGCTTACTAGCGTACACGTCTTACCGCTCGACCAACGAGCTTGCCTATGGGATATTGCCAAAATAGGGGAAAATGACCAGCATCATAATTATTTGTAGGCTATTGGTCTGAACTCTTTAATCAAGTCATGTTCATTGTTTAGGTCATTACTCCCTTTTGATGTTGTTTGGGCAGGTATTCCTTTTAGTATGGGCGACTGCTACAGTCCAGTTCAAGTTTGTATCTTTCTACAATTCCGACCATAATGATTATGACGGTGGTTGTTGCGATGACTTCTTCGGTGGCTGCGATGACTTCTGTGATAACTACTTCTTTGTATGTATCGACGGCGACGATACAGGGTACGTTAGATAGTCGGTATCATTCAAGTATTAATATAATTATATGTGATAGAATTTTTATTTAATCTAAAAAAATCCATAATGTCCGGACAGTTTGGGGGTATACCGTTCGCATGTTACGTCAGCTTCTAACATTTGCTACTGCCATTAGACTTTTTTTCAATGTTTTTGTTTGGCAATTTTTTTTGGGGGGGGGGGTTAAACAGAATTTTCGGGGGCCGACGCTCCCCAGCCCCCCCCCCCCCCAGAACCGCGAACCGCGCCTGAGTGACTGTTACCCGGCCACAGTGCGGCACTTCAGCGCTCACTCCATACAACGGTTTTCACGAACTGACACTGATTTTATTTATTTCACCAGTTAAAACGGTTGTTAATGACATTTTTGTGTAAGCCCACAAGTATACGGATGGATTACCGTTTTTCTCCGTACTGTATTGCCGCAACATATGCTTGAGTGTCAGTTCGTGAAAACGAATATCATTCTATTTCGCGTCAGTGCACCGCGTGTCAGTTCGTGAAACCGAAATTGTTGATTACGCGGTTACACGTGAGTGTCAGTTTGTGGAGTCTGTGACGATTTTCTGACTTAATACAACCATTTCTTTGAGTTTTTTTTTTCTTTGAGTCTTTTGGTTTTATGCTGATGCGAATTTCCATATTCATAAGCAAGACAGTGACGTCATCTAGAAGCATCAGTTTTACAGCAGCTTCAGTGTCTGTGTTTTTTGACTTAGTACATGACTTAGTTTGTTGACTTAGTAAATGCAACTTTGTGTCCCATTCAATAGTTCATGTTCAGCTTTGGAAACAATCAAACTGTGTTCTTCGAACACTTTCAAGTCCCTGGTCCTGCCTGCGAAATGACAGATATCAGAATCGCGAAACTTATTTTCAATATTTTGGTTTTTGGCATTTTAAAGGGTATTTTGGTGCCTTTCGTTTTTTTTTATGCTAATGCGAGTTTTCATTTTCATGAGCAAAACTGTGATGTCCTTGCGGAAGAAACCCCAATGTTACAGCTATTTCAGCACAAAAAAAGTTGCTAGAATTTTGGATATTTTCTGTCGTCAATTTACATTTCTTTGGTGATTTCCTTAGTTGTGTCAGTACATCGCAGTTAACCTATGGGCAAACCTTTCTCACAAAATGTTTTCAATGAACAAATTTTGAGTTCACAATTTGAACAGAAAACCCTTAAACTGAACAGTGTGTTCTTGAAGTGACATCACAGCAACAGCGTCTTCAGTTGTGGAAAATTTTAAATGTTTAATAAAGTGCATTTTTTCAATAAAATTAAGCAAACAGGGAGGTGAAATAGTTTTCATACATTTAAAAGGAGTAGAAAGTTTTAAAAATGTGTTTTTAAGAAAAATCAATCGCACGAGCCCTTTAAAGTGAGCAAATTTAATGTTCCAAAGTTTTAGTGACAGACACATGTTGGTGTTCATATTGTGAAAATATCTTAAGTGTATGCACAGTGTGTGCCCATAGTGACACCACAGCGATGCCCTCATTTGTCAGGAAATGGCTTGGAGATAGGGGCCTACAGACAGAATAATTAAAACTAGTGTTTCGAGTGCGACGCCGTACCTTGAAAATTGACCCCATCTTTAAGAAAAACAGTGACGTCTTGAATCAAGGCTATTATATATAATCATATGCTATTAACTACAATGTTAAGGCAAAAGTAAGGATATATGGAAATGAATATGTAATTAGTGCAGAGTGAAATTTGCTTTCTGAGAAGGTTTGAAGAGGGCCAAACTAAGTGTCGGTTTTGTTACAAACAAATAAACGATAGCTCGTTAGGTGTTGACCGCACTCGAGGACAGTTGTGATGCTTCTTATTAGGCCTTTTCCGAATTGTTTCTTTCTTTAGACCTATTGATTTCATGTTCAGTTTTGGAGGCCTCTTCAAATATCAAATTGTGTTTAATCATTCTCTTTGAACACTTTCAAGTCCCTTGGGTACTTCCTGCGACATGGCAGCTATCACAACAGCGAAACTGCATGAGGATAACGACAACTTCAACTTCCCCTCCACCATACCCAACCTGATAGCGAACCCGTACACCATACGTGTCGACTCCTGGTCGGTAAGCTGTTCAACAGTGGCACTATAGGACACTATATTTAGCGTTTATAGATGGCGAAACTGGGCCCAGATCAATGTACACCTTTACGAGGCACCCTTCATTGGAGGAACCACTGTGCACGCTGTTGTACAAAGCAACTGCTTTCGCCGTTCTTAGATGTATATATTTGGCGAGTCTTGTTTTTTTGGATGTATATGTTTAGCAAGTCTTATTTTTTTTGGATGTATATGTTTGGTGAATCTTGTTTTTTGGATGTATATGTTTAGCAAGTCTTATTTTTTGTGTATATATTTGGCGAGTCTTGTTTTTTGTATGTATATGTTAAAGTCTTGTTTTGTGGATATATATGTTTGGCGAATCTTGTTTTTTGCAAGTATATGTTTGGCAAATCTTGTTTTTTGCACGTGTATGTTTGGCAATCTGGTTTTTTTTGCAAGTATAAATTTGGCAAGTCTTGTTTTTTTTGCAAGACTTAGTTATATGTTTGGCGAATACTGTTTGACATTGTTATCCTCTTTAAAGTTAAGAGTAAAGCATCAAAGCTACAAAGATATATATCCACAAAATAAGACTTGCTAAACATAATACATGAAAAAAGACTGGCCAAATATATACATCCAAAAAACAAGACTTGCTAAACATATACATCTAAAAAACTAGATTCACCAAACATATACATAAAAAAACAAGATTCACCAAACATATACTTGCAAAAGAGCAATTTATACATTCGATGGCACAAACGGCCTTTCGTAAAACTGCACACAAAACTGCATCGGGTGCATGGGTGATCCGCAACTGTCTCTCGCGGAATAACAACCTTTCGGCGAATACAGCAATTCAGTTAATTCAAATACCAAAATTATTATTACTCAGTGATACTTGAGATTATGTCCTTATAAGAAAACCAATAATGAAGAAAAGGAAACGATAATGTACACTACCTTCCCATACACCGGAAACCAGATTTTTGCCTTTACGCGCTTCCTTTAACGGGTCTGTTACCAAACACGCCGATATTTCACCGAACTGGATCGTGGGTAATTTTTAAGTGATTTCCAAAAATTCTTTTTTCTCCCGACACTTTCAAAATAATAGACCTTCAAATTGGTAAACCGAAAGTCTCGAAATACTTGAATTGATTTCTATTTAATCAAGTGATCTGGAACTGTCGATGCCGGAACTGTTGCACTCACTGTAGTACATGACCGATATCTTACCAGAATGGGTGGGGGTTGTCCAAGTAGTTACAATCACACTTGTACAGAAACCGAAGGGCCTTAAATAATTAGTTGTAATTTGCCTTATTCTTTATGAAAAGAAATATATGCATTTTTGTTCTCGAGCGGGCCTATTTTGCCTATTAGTCTAATAAAGAGGCTGGCTTCGGAAGCGCCGAACTCCCTTTACACTCTCATTAGCTGCCGCTCCTTTGTTTAACAGTTTTGTTCACTTCTTTTACATCGAAATCAAATCATGGTTATAAGCGTGATTGCTTGGTGTGTGTGATCGAAAATGCGGCTGGCATGCAGTAACATACATCAGTCTACATGACGTGGCTTTAGCCGCTCCCATGAGTGAGTGCATGTATATTTGCAATCCGACTTTAAGTGTTCGTATTTTCGATTGTTTGACAGGGTAGCATGCAAGTCTTCGTTCGAGTCTGGGATCTGGATACCCAGAATGCTGATGACGAGATTGATCGTGATAGAAGGACCATTTATAAAGAGGCTGCACGGAGTCTATCAACCGCGACGTGGGAGCAGTATAGGCTGGGTTCACGGTCACAGTACGTCACTAGGACATGAATGTCAAAAAAAGGAAAGATTTATCTACCAATAAAAACAATTATTCGCTTTTTAATAATACACTGAAAAAATTACTATCCACGTTTATGTATAGTTTAGATTAACAAATGCGAGTGCACAATGAGCTCTGGCCGCCTTGCATGAAAGTCTTGCACGAAATCCATCAAATGATCCTTGCCAGAGCTTTAAAATGCGACGTCCAGAAATATGACGCCGATGGCACATATGGAACACCATACTTTAGATTTATACTTAGATTTTTAGCGATTTGTGATAAATACCACGTGACTTTAACATTACTGCACATGTTTTGCCCCCATTTACAAACTTTTGAAGAACAGCTTTCCGAAATTTTACCAAAAAAAAGCTGTTAAGTATTTAATTTTTGTTGTTTGCCTTTTTTTTTTCAAAATTAAAATTTGGTGTTTATTTTCATGGGAAACTAATGGGCTTATTTTGGTCAATTTGCCGGGGACCAATCGATTGATCGACCGACCGACCACCAAGTGACCTGTAGAAACTCCATAAGCCAGTTGCGAGTTAAATTTGCATCTGAAACGCCGACTTAATCCAATGCTTTGCACGTTTTAACTTTGCATTCTCCCAGCCAAATAGACTGTTACTATATCACATGATTTGGAGCAAGCCTTATGCTAGCAACCCCCAGCTCCGGCATGGTCTGGTGTCTTTGTGCCATTCTCACCCATTGTGAACAATGTGTTGGTGCTGAGCATCCCTTACTTAACTATGCAAGAGCTTGCCCCGAATCATGTGATTAGCAACATTGTTTTTGGTCTGGAAAATTCAAAGTTAAAATGTGCCAAGCATTCTGAGTAAGTCTGTGTACCAGATGATTTTCAAATTTAGGTCACTCGCCGTGGTTTATTGAAAAGGGACCGGTGTGTTTGCTGCCACCTAGCGGCTCCCATTTAATGGTTCTCATCAGAAAATACTACATGAATCACATGGCATTTTTCATTATAACCTGGTCGCTAAGCCAAAAAATCAAAATCATGCAAAAACAGCTCCAGGTGGCACGTGAATTATCATATCACTCACAAGACCAATTTGAAATGTCAAAGAAGAATCAAGGTCAGACATTTGGTCTTCAACAACTATACCTGCCTCCAAAATAATTGCAAAATATGTATTTCGTGGGTGTGTGCACTCTAAAACGTTCTCCGAATGCATGGCTTGAAAAAGTAAAACGTTTGACAGTTCTTTTCTCGCAGACTTAACTACTTAAGGCAAGCCTTTGTAGAATTTGGAGATTATAATTTGTGTTGCCCACTCTTCATCTGTTTGCTTTTCTCTCTCTCCTTAACTTAAAAAAAAAAAATTCTAGGATCGACTTCATTTTTGAAGTGAGGGTGTATTGCGACAGTTATTACTATGGCTCCGACTGCAGTGTGCACTGTATTCCCAGGGATGACCAGTATGGACATTACCGATGCGACGCCATTACGGGAGACAAAATTTGCTACAATGGCTGGGACGGTACATCCACTGTTTTTGTTGTCTTTTTGTTTCGCAGCTTAATGTTTGGTGAAATACACACAATTTGTTTTTAAACTTTCAGACTAATTACAGACCCTTTTGGCTCGGCTTGGGAAGACGTTGAAAGGATAGCATGTTGATAATTTATCATAACGGGAATAGGGACAACATTCAGTGATTTCGATGTTATTTTTGCTCTTTAAGATGACTATGTAAGTTGTCATACCATATGTGCACCAGTGACTTTAAAGGGAATGTACATCATTGGCTTTTGCTGTAATTTTCGGAAATGAACTATTCAAGGGGTTAGTATAATAGATCAGAATATTGTTACACTGACATTTGTGAAGTTTTGTGTTCGACAAGGTTGGAAAAGCCAAGAAAAACAAAAATGTTCAAGTAGTCTGGTTCCCTGACTCCACAAAAGATAAAATGGATCATTTTATAGATGATGGAAAATTGTAAGGCAAGGGAACCAGTCTAGCTGGCCTGCACCCGTTCATGAACATGAAACCAATAGCAAACAAAATTTGGACTGAAAAAATGGTAAATTTGGAGCAGTAGTTGAAAAATAGTTAGGTTTTTCCAAAGCTCGTCGGCCAACCACCGTTGGAAATGTATACAAAAATACCATTTTCTCGAAAATGACTTCACACCAGGTGCCATAATTTTACAAGATGCTTGAAACTGTCATTTGCCAACATCCTAGTAAGGTATTTCGTAAAAACGGGGTAGTTTTTTTTCGATGTTTGCAAATGTTGTATATTCCCTTTAAGTCGTAGGAGTTAGAGCACGGCCTTTAATTGTAAACTCCCATCAACATTTTGTCTCGGTCCTCTTGCTTTGCAGGATCCAATTGCGAGCTTGATTACGATGAATGCCAGTCTAATCCTTGTGTTAATGGCGTATGTGTTGACGGGGTCGATCAATTCAGCTGCTCCTGCACAAATGGCTGGACTGGTAAGTGAAAACATTTTAACGATTTCTTGTGTAAATAAACAGTTGAGCGCGCTACATACCCTTCTGGCGCAGAGCTGATAAAGAGAGAGAGTTGGGACAACATCAGACTGTTGAACAATGGGCCTTATTCACGAGTTGACCATTTTTGTCGAGTTCCTTGACTGTATTTCATTAATTGTTAACTGTTGAATGGGATGGTGCCAGACTATTTATCCAGGCATAATGCAGCCTTATTTTACAGTCTTTTTTTTTTTTTTTAATCTGGCTTTAAACATTTATTGAACGTTTAATTACAAATTTCAAATTATGAAATTATTCATGTGAAGCAGACTGGAATTAATTAGTGATTAACTTGCCGTCATTTCTCTACACAAGTTCAAAAAATCAAGATTTTACCTCACTCTCAATCCAATATGGCCGACTCGTGAATAAGGCCCATAATGGCCTTTCATTATGTGCTCAGTGCAGCGTGCGACCACATGTATTGTGTATGAATTACTAGCTAGATGGGTGGAGTTGACTGGGTTTTTTTTACCGTTTATACGGTGAAATCTTGATAAGTCAAACTCCGATAACTCGAAACAACTATTAAGTCAAAAAAGAAAAACTGTTTTGTATCGTTTGTACAGTAAAATATTTGCTATATATACTGCTGCCACTAGGAGAATGTTAAAAATGCCACGTGTCCATTGTTACCATATCCCTGTCTGATCGGTTTTACCAAAAGTTGCCCTCCTTACCATTATTTTGTGCAACTTTCTGCTCCTCTTAAATGTATGAAAACTATTAACACCCCTTAATGGTCAATGTTATTCGGAAGTGCACAAACATTTACAATTGTCTATGCTTTTCCGGACAACTGAGACCGCTGTTGATGGAAAGTTTCAGGAAGAAACTGTTCAGTTCAGGGGTTTCTGTTCAAAATTAATTCCAACAATCTGCTCAATGAAAACATTTCTGAGAAAAGTGTTCACTGGCGTACTGATATGTACTGACACAACAACGAAACACAAAAGAAAAGGAAATTAACAACAGCAAAATATCCAAAACTCAGGTAATTTTGTGCTAAAATAACTGTAACGTTGTCTGCCTGAAATGACATCACACTCTTGGTCATCAATATGTAAATTTACATTAGCATAAAAACCCAAACGAAACAAATTAAAAATACCCTTGAAAACTCTCAAAACGAAAATTCAATATAAGGTTAAATGGGACACAAATGTGTACTCGCAGTGACTGCATGAAAATAATTACATTGCAAGGAGCCCTTTAATTATGTTTTTCCACTTGGAATACCATATGATTCCTTTTCATCGTGTCCCTTGTAACTACTCAAAAACTACAAGGACTTTTTGAGTTATATAGCTTAACCATATTTGTATAAACCACATCGTTAATGTGTTTCACAGGACCGACATGCGACATCAACGTGGACGATTGCGCATCCACGCCTTGCAAGAACGGCGGGACTTGCCACGATCTCGTGGCAAATTTCACCTGCGCATGTCCCCCTGGTCACGTGTACGCGGACGAGTTCTGTGAGTACGACGACTGCGCAGGTCAACCATGTCACAACGGAGCCACGTGTAATGATCTGATTGGTCAATTCAAGTGTGTGTGTCCTCTGGGTTATTTTGGAGATCTTTGCGAGGTAACGGATTCATGTTCCTCTGTTGGTGCCAAGTCGGTAATTGTTTAATGTACGGTTACTGGCTCCACGCACGCAAAATATCGCTGCAATGCGCATAATCTAGTTCTCAAAACAAATGATGTTAACTATTGATGATCAATTACCGAGTTGGCGAAAACGTTTTTAATTTTATACACAACATATGGGAGCATTTTGAATCGCTAGCGAATTCTATGCGAGCACTCTGATTGGTTCAGATTCCAGAGTGTATTCTAGGCCACCACGGAAGATCATTCTCTTTACTTCGAGGGTTTTTACTTTGTGCTGTGCAACATTACAATATTCATTATAGGGCATACACGACTCAAATAAATGAAGTACATCACAATGATACATTTTATTTCTACGCACAATTGACCTAGCTGAGTGTATTAGTCGTTAAAACGTCGCAAGATCTGCAGACATGCCCCCAACGTATTGAGAAGAACTCCCCACGCAACAGAACGAATGAGTCCTCATTTGCATAGAGGTGCGCGATTGGATCTCACTGCAAAAATGCACTGCATAAATTATGCAATACGCTGCTTACATGAATGAATAACGGTGCGAGAACGTAACCGTCAAGTCGTTAGATTTGTCGCAACCCGGCCGATTACGTACTAGTCTTATACCAGCCACGCCGATGGAGGTCGACTGAAGTTCACGGACAAAATACGACTATCACGTATATCTATAACGATTTGTCATCAAATCCACTGTTATTGCGGAAGTCGTCTTTTTTGTTCATTTACACCAGGCACATTTACTTCAAATTAGCTTTTGCACGCACCGACGTATAAACACTGTATACTCAGTGTGTTACCTCCCGACTGAAAGTTGGAAAAAAAATAATGCGCGATTGGATCTCACCGCAAAAATGCACTGCATAAATTATGTAATACGCTGCTTACATAAATGCACTGCATAAATGGAAGTAGACTGAAGTTCACGCAGACTTATTATACAGTCTTTATACGTCGGTGAAGGGAAAAACTTAATTTGATTTACATCACCCCGACGCAAATTCCATCTTATGAACACATTTACTTCAACCAGTTACCGTGTGCATTTCCCACATTTAGAGTGCGGATTTCTCGCCCATAAATTGCCAGCCTTGATAATAAATATATTAGAAACGCCATTAGAAAGTATATTTTAATTGAAAGTGGGATTTCTGTTTGTTATACACACGTATTTTGTATGCCTATTCAGAAAATCTTATGTTGGTGCTTATTGTTGAATGGTAGGCCAACAACAAATTTGCTGTTCTCGGTGATATCGGATCAGATCAGATGTTCGAGCATAATTACACAGAATCAGTTGGGTGAACTTCGTATTATCAAAGTTTCTGTGCATAACATGACATAAGCCTACAGCTGTCAGTCCCCGGATTTCTACATCTACATCTACCCTATTATTGATAATGATGTCTATTTCTTGCTAATGAACAGTTTCTTTTGTTAACAGGTCGATATCGATTACTGCATCAACCAAACCTGCGCCAATAACGGCACGTGCGTTGACCGAGTGGGCGGATTTCACTGTCTGTGCGAGACGGGCTACGAGGGCCTCTTGTGTGACGTGGAAACAGACGAATGTAGTTCCAATCCGTGCCTTCACAATGGGACGTGTCATGATCTCATTGGGAAATATCAGTAAGTTCGATCGAATCCCAAGCAAATTCACGCGTAAATTAGGCCTATTACATGTAGTGTAATGAATCCATTATTGACTTTGTTCAATAATTCAATCAATTAAAAGAACAATAACATTATGGAATGACTGTGGCCATGGGCATCAATCAATATCGGGGGACATTTCCCCCACTTTTTTTCTGTGACTTTGTACACACCTGTGTACTTATTAACCCAAGTTCCTTCACTGACTATCCCTATTGCCGAGTATGATATATGTCTATATCTTTTATAAATAGTCGTCATGCTCATCAAAGGCATATTCTTTGAGAGGTCGAAACCTCCTTGCTACCACGGTGTCAGATTTAACGTTTGGTATACCGTGAGGTATATCTAGGTTGTGTAAACTTTAGGTTTACTCCGATCTTAACGATAACCAAGTTAACGATCATTAAATAACAATATTAACTTTTACTTTTAAATAGTCGTCACTTCTACATCAAAAAGTTCCATGCACGCTTAAGTCACCATACAACTTTGAACATTTTGAACAGTGCACGGCCTCCGATTAATCCATGTACTGAATTGTTTTTCCCTAAAGATGTGCATGTCTAGAAGAATATGAAGGAACACACTGTGATTTGGAGACGGACGAGTGCCTGAGCTCCCCGTGTAGAAATAACGCAACTTGTGAGGACGAGCTCGCTGGATACCACTGTCACTGTGTCGACGGGTACGAGGGTGACACGTGCGAGATGGACATAGACGAATGTGCCTCGTTCCCATGCTATATCAATGAGACCTGCGTGGATGAGATCAACGGTTTCTGGTAAGTGTGGCGCCGTGTATGATTGGGCAAGCATTACTTTTGTGAACAATTTCACCAGTTTGTCCATTGGAAGTTGATCAACTGAATTCTCCAGTAAGAAGAACATCAATGACAGCGGTGGATTAATACCAAAATTTATGAGGGTCACGAATCTGATTAGTGCTCTACGCTTGGTCTGTTATCCGACTGGCTAGCAGTGGATTTTACTCATAATTTAACAGGTAACTATTTTCCCCTTAATATCAGGTGTCAAAGGTTGAATCTGTGTGATAATGATCCGTGTTTGAACAACGCCACTTGCGTGGACGATTACCCGGGGTTCATCTGCGAATGCGTGGCAGGTTACGGCGGAAAGACGTGCGACCAAGACATCGACGAGTGTGCCAGCTCGCCGTGTCTACGGGGCACATGCACCGATCACCTGGATGGGTACACCTGCCTCTGTCCGCCGGGCTACGGCGGAGAAAAGTGCCACAGTGAAACCAACGAGTGCAACAGCTCACCCTGTCTGAACGGGACTTGCTGGGATCTCATCAACGGCTACGTTTGCAACTGCACCGCGGGGTATGAAGGCGTGCTGTGTCAGAACGAAATAGATGAGTGTGCTAGCTCGCCGTGTCTACACCAGGGCACCTGCACCGATTACCTGAACGGGTACACCTGCCTCTGTCCGCCGGGATACGGCGGAGAAACGTGCGACCAAGACATCGACGAGTGCGCCAGCTTGCCGTGTCTACACCAGGGCACCTGCACCGATGACCTGGACGGGTACACCTGCCTCTGTCCGCCGGGATACGGCGGAGAAACGTGCCACAGTGAAACCAACGAGTGCAACAGCTCACCCTGTCTGAACGGGACTTGCTGGGATCTCATCAACGGCTACTTTTGCAACTGCACGGCGGGGTATGAAGGCGTGCTGTGTCAGAACGAAATAGATGAGTGTGCTAGCTCGCCGTGTCTACACCAGGGCACCTGCACCGATTACCTGAACGGGTACACCTGCCTCTGTCCGCCGGGATACGGCGGAGAAACGTGCGACAAAGACATCGACGAGTGCGCCAGCTCGCCGTGTCTACACCAGGGCACCTGCACCGATCACCTGGACGGGTTCACCTGCCTCTGTCGGCCAGGATACGGCGGAGAAACGTGCCACAGTGAAACCAACGAGTGCAACAGCTCACCCTGCCTGAACGGGACTTGCTGGGATCTCATCAACGGCTACGTTTGCAACTGCACGGCGGGGTATGAAGGCGTGCTGTGTCAGAACGAAATAGATGAGTGTGCTAGCTCGCCGTGTGAGCACGGAACGTGTGTGGATGAGTTGAATGGCTACAGGTGAGCAGCCTTAGTTTTTTGGTAGGACTTTGGTATAATCCGCAAGCTCATGAAAATCGTATGAAAATTAAAGAAGCGAGAATGGTATAGGCCATACGACCCTTTGCCTGACAGCCATAATATGGGTGTATGAGCTTTTGTCACACAGGCATACGCATGCACAGACCATGTGGCGTATTCAAACTTGACGCTGAATTCAAATAAACAAAATATATTTCCAATATGGCTGCTGCATACGATGGACCTGTCGTGACTCGCATTTACCTGAGCATTATTTGGTTTATACAGATGTGAATGTGATGTGTTTTACGAGGGCACTCAGTGTGACACGGTGATAGATGAGCCATGCGCCCTCCCAGACCCACCGTGTCAGAACGGTACATGTGAAAACACCAACAGCGCTAACGATTACAATTACAAATGCACCTGTGATGACGGCTTCTATGGAACCAATTGCGACATAGGTAAGACAAGACCAAAATGGAATTTGTACTTTAATGGTAAAAAAAAAACATACTCAGCCTTTTTACGATAGGACCACATCTTAATTTGGAGCTTGATATTTCATAATGGAAAAAATCCAGAAAAAAAATTCTGAACAGGTTTTCGAAAAAAAAGTCCCCTGGTGTCTTTTGTTGTCTACTTTTACACCTGACATATTGCTTTTTGGTGATGTAGTGTCCCCAATGCCACTTACACGAATCAAGCCCTACCCGATAATATTTTCTGCCATTTATTATTTGTGATAATATTGTAGCGGTCGTTGGCTGGATAAAACTCGGCGCAGAAGCGGAATCGAACGAACGCGAAATTAGGAATCGGGCCGAGTAGTTGTGCTCCAAATTCGCACATAATTAAGCACATTTTGAATGCCGGCCTATTTTTCACAAGTACTTTAATTGTTGCATTTTCAAAATCAAAATCAAAGCTTATAGTATAGTACCTTAAATTGTATTCATCATCTATTTTGGGGCAATCGTTTCACGACATTGAAATAAACAAATTCCTGTATTTCTTTTGTCACGTGTCTAAGAGTCAAAACTGTACAGTGCCGTCGTCATGGTGATTGGAAAGTTGGGAGATCAGTCTGCTTTTGAAACCAAATTGGCCAATCTGCTGCAGAAACTCTACGCACTTCATTCGCGCGTGCGCAGAGACACCGGAGAAACTGTGACCGTGGAAATAATTCTGACAGAGGACTATGTCAAGTCTACCGATAGGTATATATATTATTCCACAGTTGTCTTGCAAGGTTTAATGGACACAGACAATTGAAATGAAATTATCAGTTGATGACGCCAAATTGTTGCTATAATGTCAAGTTAATCGTCTCGTAATTAGTTTACCGAAAGAATATTAATTCATTTTTGGTTTGAGAAAAGCACTGTTAACAATCTAGTTAAAAAAATCTCCAAGCTATCTATCAAAAACAATTGCCTCCAAATGTTTATATGACTTTCAATTTTATTGGCATGATAATACACATTAAGGCACTCCATACAATCGCGCAAAGGCAACCCTACTACATAAAGCGATCAGCAAATCCGTTATTACTATTTGACAGTGAGACGATCTATGAATTCCATGCATCGGGCTCTAATCACAGAACATCAACTTTTTATCACCACCAGCTCACCACTGACCAGAGTCACCTTTCTAGCTTGGACTGAGTCGGGTTACTTACAGAAGGACACCATGGAGGCTTGGATTGATGGGGCGCCGACGGATCTTCCTGCCCAGTTCGGCTTCGACATCTACAAGGGATCGGCGGAGCCATACACTGAGAACCCGTCAGAGGTATAGGATTTCTCCCCTTAACTGGAAGAAACTTTGAATCAGTTACAATATTTTAAAGATCTATCGTGGCACGATGTGAAGTCAGGCGAACATGTGGCTCTTCTATAGAACTTCTCTCACTGATAGACACTTAGGTTCCTCCTTGACCCCCTCCTTCTGTCAGGAGGGCTTTCCTTTCTCATTGCTCCATCGCACATCTTCACCGCTCTCCTCGGTTTTCCTGCCTCCTTTCGTTCTTACGTCATTTTTGTTCCGCAAGTTGAGGTAGTTACTTGACTTCCTTCCCTCTCACTGATTCGTTGCGGAACTCCTTACCCAAATTCATCTTTCCTCTTCGAATGTTTATCTCAGTTTGACGGGATGATCAACTTATAATTAATTTTTGTCTTTAAATCCATGGATTATTTTTTTGTGGCTGCCAACTCGATTCGCCTGTAGCATTCTTGTTATAAAATAGTAAATTCGCGTTTTCAAAATATAAAACTGATCACGAGATGATGAACAAACTGCCAATAGAAGGATGATGTAAATAACAGTAATGGTTGAAAATGATAGTGAAAATGGCGGTGATGGCAGTGAGGATGGTGATAACGTCGACTTGATAACGGTGAAAATAATTATGATGATGGTGATAACAGAAGTAAATAATGGTGATATTTCAACTATGGTGATCGGATATGACAGACGATAAAGCCATATATTTGTGATTTCTTTCCAAGAGCTGGATCGGTTCCAACTGGTACATCATTCTACTCGTTGTCGTTATTGTAGCTTCGATTGTTGCGGTCGGGTTTCTCTTCTACCATAAAGGAAAGTAAGTAATAATGCTCGAGTTCAGGTCAAGTCGAATCAGGACGTCATGTAGTTCCGAATCAGGACGTCATATAGTTCCAGGACAGAAGGAGAAAAGATGTCTGAAAATGCATTTCCAAAAGGTGTCGATGGGTGCTGGTATATCAGAGCAGTTTCCAGATATATCATCAATGTAACGATCAATTTTAGCCATCAAAATTGTTGCTCTTACGATTTCTTTAACAATATAAATTATGTCTACTTATGAAATTATTAAGTTCAAAGTTCAAAAGGAAAATAGCAATGACCAGTATACTTATAAATAGAGAAAAAAGTAGGGTATTCCGATGAAGAAAGTCTTATTTCCTCAAGATAATACGATGTTGAACTTAAGTCACATTTTCTATGTTTTTTTTCTTCAGTTTCACGACCTGCCAACCATATTTATACATCAGTGAAACGCTCAAAATGTTTATACATCGGTGAAACGCTAAAAATGAGAACAAACCGTTAATAATTCAAGTTCAAAGAAAGCATCTGCTGCGTGTAGTTTTCGTTAGAAAACGCGTTATCTTAGCTTCCAATGTATGTTCCAGTATAACAGCTCTTTATGCCTCTTATAAAAATTGCACCCTGAAGAAATGAGATTTAGCTAGCAATCAGTCTTAATTACACCCGGCTGACGATATCTATATTTTCCGTTGATAGTTGTAGTCAGCTGACCGCAAGTGTGACATTTTTCAGTTACTCTGACTTAAGGTTATATCGGAGTAGTACTACCTAAGACGTATGTTTTTGCTCTTACAGCCTCGGTCGAGCCAAGGATGCTGCGATCAAGTACCGAGGTCGCGACCGGGCCCAATCGGCCCTCGAGACGACCTTCAGTACCCATAAAGGGGAGGTGGACATCGCCTACAGTGCCCGCATCAAGGATGACGCCCCTACTCTACCCAAAAGACCCGACCGTCCCAACATGGTGGAGTCCGTCAACCCCGCGTACACATCGAGCTGTGACCAGTCTGACTACTGTGGGTCTGCCACTGCCGGTGCCGAGAAGGCTTTCTTCGTTGCCTTGGATGGGGGCGGGGAGAAAGCAAGCAACTACTACGCCGATATTCCCGCGCTCAAGGCCAAAGCTGTGGCCAAGGAGAACTCGTACTATTAAGTAGGACATATCAGTGGCGTAAATCCATGCCGGAGAGTGTGGCGGATGGGGGATGACCATGCGGCAAAATCCTAAAATTGTCCGGTCGTGTGAATTCAAAATGGGATTTTTTTTTGTAGTGTTAATTTAACACCATTCGGTATCTATATAGGACATCACCAGTAAAATCTAACACCAGATGGTCCTATATAGATACCAATGGTGTAAATTTAACACTCCAGTTTTTGCAGTGATAGGGGTGCTGTTTACGATACAAAATACATGTAATGGAAACATACGTTTACACGTCCCTTAAAACCGTAACCAGCCTTAATCCTCAAAAATCCCCCGGTTTTGGAGGATTTTGGAGGGTTGAGGATGAATGGTGCTTGAGAAATATTAGGATTTTGGAGAATTGAGGATGAATGGTGCTGAAGCAAATGAGGATTTTTGAGAATGGAGAATGCAGAGAGAGGCAGGACTTGTCTGACGATTTGGAACGATAGAGGCGCTGGGTATCCTTCATTTAAACACAAGTGCAACATTTTGAAGTCTTTTGGAAGAATGAGGATGGGTCCCAGCAAAAAGGGCCTAAGGGGGTTGTTAACCTTCAAAGCTGGGCATTGAAAGCTTATTCTCCGTGGTTTCTTTTCAAAACTGTTTTAATAATTTGGTCAGTTGGGAAGATTTTTGGGTTTCTCACCTTCAAAACAGGAGGAGGCGGAACCAATTCCCCACCCCCGGTCAGAAAGTGTTGGGGATGTATCCGCCCATCCCCGCGGGATTTACGCCCATGAGGATATTACGTTTCAGCGCCAAATTAAGTAAAACATTAGTAACAAATTAACGTCTCACATCACATTGTTATATTGTGCCGTAAGCCAAATAGCTATTGAAAGGTGTTAGTTACTGTATAAGAAATTAATCGTCGTTATTTTTATTTTTTGGATTACTGCACTACACCTTTTTGACGCAAATATTGTGCCAGACGGTATTTGAGTGGTGTTGAATTATGTGTATTTAAATACAATGTATTGTAGAAACTTTACACGTGACCGTTCTAGATTAATAAAATTGCAGTATCCAAGTCACGATTTAACAAAGCAAAAGCGGACTTGGGGATCAGCTATTAAAGGGACACATTCCAATCTACGGCGAGGTATTTGTGTTTAATACCCCCTTTCTGCATTGGCCTCACACGTCCGTATTGCACAAACTTAATTGCAGCTGCTGTAAATAGTAATGCACTAATACAGTTTATCCTTTAAAATTTAGCAATGTAAGTGATCAATATACACACACCAACACCAAAACAGTCATGAGCAACAGAGAAAACAGCTTTATTAGAGCAGTGATGATATCCTAATCGCAGAGTACAATGTATATATAATCATGGTTTGCACACAAACAATACCACTAGGCTACAAATAGGTAAACATAGAACAGGTAAACTAATAGCGGTTTTCCCGGCTATTTTAAAACATTTATCATTCGTATTCACCGTTTTTAATATTCCAGTTCGTCATTCAACATCGATTTAGTAAATACTTCCAATGTTTAATTTCGTCTTTTGTCATACCATTTCCATTGTTGTTCAATCGAATTCAATCCGCGAACGCCCATTTTCGGCGAGGAGTATTCGATTTCGTCTCGTCTACAGCGAACAGTTTTATTCAGAAATCAAATTCGTCTTTTGCCACACAATTGAAAGTTTGTCCAATTTCGCAACATTTTTTTATTTTACTTTCCCTGTTACTCATAAATGTTGCTTGTTTTTAAATCGATTTTCCTTGGAAAAGAGATGTCATTGACTCGTAGGTACAATGTAACAAAGTAAAATGGGGCATCGACTGTTTTTTTACATGGTCATCTTTATTTTTTCACTCATTTAATGCCCAAAGTTGCAGCCACTTGGATATAGTCCATGGCATCATGTTCAAGGATTAATTCGTATCCTGTCCTCGTTAGAAACTTTGTTGTATGGACCTCGGGCAAAAGGAACATGGTAAATAACCCACGCCAGACTAATTTACTTAGCAATTTTAAATTGATTGGCATAAGACGAATTAAATCTCTCAATACTGCCATTGGGCAACAGCTTTAGACGAATTCGATCTGTAATGACGAATGGTCTCGACAGTGTGTTTAAATGTGGTGACCCTAGTTTGAAGTTGAATGGTAAACAACTAAATCGCTTTGGTAAAAGCGTGTGAATTTTGTTCTCAGACAAAATTGAATGGTACAGTTTCTGAATTTGAATGAAAAATGATTCAAAATAACCGGGAAAAAGTATAGTATGGCCTGCCCAATAATTCGCATTACATTCCTAATTGTGTAAACTTTCATTCATTATCTGCCAAGGCGTAGACGAATCAGGGCACGTGATCACTGTACACGAGGCCCCCTTCAATGTCGAAAGCATTGTGCAAGCTATTACGCAATGCTACTTCCCCATTACGGATTATCTGAACAATAGCTAGCACAATGCTGTTGCCATTGATGGGGGCCTTCGTGATAGAATTGACAGCATGCCCGGATTGGTCTATAGCATGTGTATATAGAGTTTTATATTGTTTTCATTTATTTTATGTTGGGGTGTTTGTTTGTTTGTTTGTTGGGCTGTGGGGGTGTTTTTCACAAGAAAAAAATGCTTTAACTTAGCGTATAGAACTGTATGACAATACAAGGTTTTCAACCATCCTGGGTTTTGATCCAAGAACTTGTTTCAATTAAATTAAGCCATTAAAAAAGTTATTCATAATTATTGGAAAAGTGACTTCGGCCTTATAATTTCGCTTTAAAAAAAGTCGACATCAAGTCACACTAAACACCATATGAAACCAGATACGAATCAGATACATCAGATAAGGCAGTGGACCTATTTTGAATTTTGTTTTTTTTGTCGTTTGTACCCAATTTGAACGTTTTTGTACTCACAAGTTGTTTCGAATAAATGTTTCTGATTATGAAATAAACCCAAAAGAGACTTTACAGATAAATAAAAACTACCATTTGTCAATGCAGTGTTTATTATCCATGTCTTTATGTTTAACACAACTTGTAATTTTGCCTTTAATTAATACGTAAATTTGTTGAAAGTGTTCGCGAATTGAAAGGAGAATTTACTGCGCCTTGATAGTTGCAGACCAGTAAATCGGTCCGAAATTGCCTACGCCGTCCAAATCACGATTTGCATGCCCTCAAAATCTTCAGTATTTGAGCATGCTATGAGCAATGAACTTGAGGGTTTTTTAAAAAATATGGGTGGAAGCCGTGTACAGGTCTACAGGACTGTGAACTTGTAGTTCCGTTCAATTTGGATGAAATTGGGGCCCTTAAAGCGCTATTTTGCAATGGAGTGTAGGCATCGTTTATCCAAATGGCGATGGGCTTCAGGACTAGTTTCAGGGGTGATCATCTTCGGATGGAAATTCTACCTAAAAGTCATCAGTTGACCCCCAAAAAATTGAAAAGAAAATGAAAGATGATTAAATAAGCTTTAATTTGATGTGTGTCTCGAGCACCTTGGAGAGTTGTGAGTTTTTTTCCTGAGTTGCTGAAGGGGGAGCATTTACCATTGGGGTCTGTGGAAGTTTATTTACTGGTCTGTAACCTGATGTGCAACTGCAAGATGTTCCTGCTCGGCCAAAAACCTAGTTTGCACTGAACTGTGTAGATATGAGGCTGAAGAGATGTGTGCAAATACAGCCAGCCACCCTGATGCTGACATAATGGCTCCCGCAAGCGCACTTTTGGAATATGCCCCCTTTTTATAAAAAAAAAAAAAGCATGACACACTCCCAAATAGGGAAACAATTTCTTTTTGTAATTTTACAGGTAAACATTTTGTCCACCCAGTTCACTGTACTGAATGGAAACAAAAACCAAAAAACACCAAGAAATGTCCGTTACCGTCTCGATTTTCTGTTAATAACATTTGCCCCCGCTTTTATAAAATTAAGCCCCATCCACAAAGAGGCAAAATTCTTGATTGTTTGTTCTCGTGATGTAGCAATTGGGTCAGGCCCGGATTACCCAATAGGCACAGTAGGTACTGTGTCTAGGGCCTACAAAAAAAATTGGGGGCCTACAAAAACTTGGGGGAGGGCCTACGAAAATACCGCAGTGTGCCATAAAACACATAGGCCTACCTACACACACCCACACGCGCAGAGAAAACAGTTTTAGGGTCTCTCTAAAAAAAATCGATTTCACCAACTGACGCTGTACAGCATGTATGCATTGGCCCTACGTATAAAATGTACGTGTTAAGTCTGTCGTTCTGAAGCACGGTGCAAACCATGGGCGTCGATCGGTGGGGAACGGGTGGACTGATGTCGTTCCTCAACGATTTTCGTCCCTGAATAAAAATATGTAGACTACATTTGATTCTATAGCTCAGAACAGGTAATATAATGACTCCAAACTCGAAAAAGATGTTTAAATGATGATCTTGTGCTAAAACTTTGGCAGTCGTCAGAAATTGCCTCAGATCGCACCCGCAGGGCGCCTAGAATCCAATTTATTTCACGGGCCCTTAAGTGGGCCCCGGACCCCGCGCCGTTTAGGCTTCGCACTCGCACAATAAGTACTGATCAAGATACACATGTATGTACCACCTCCACTTTGAGAAGCGAATGACGCCCTCGAGAATTGGTGCCAACAGGCTGTTAGAGCTAGGACCTATACCAGTTTGGCCTGGCTTGATTTGTACAGCCCCCCACCCCCAACAAAAGTGTGTTCTGGATCCGTCCTTGTACCCACACTCCCAATAAGCCTAATCAATGTCCACAGATTTTCATTGTGTGTTTTCTAAGACAGGGACATTTTCCGGTTCTTACTACGTGATTTTAGTAGTGTATCCAACTTCAGGCGTTGATTACTCATAACATGGTTTGGGGGGACACTTCTCATTTTGCAACATTAGGTCAGAAAATGTGCCCCCTCGAGATGAAATTAAAACTGCCCTCAAACGCACATGAAAGCATTATGATCGCGTTAAAAATGATCTCTCTTATAATGCAAAATCAAATGTAATGCCCCTCAAAAACCAAATACCCCTCGCGCATTGACAAGATTGTGAACCTTCTCGAGATGGAAAACTATCTCTCGAAAACACG